TGATGCCTACAGCGTCCGTAGCATTGACGTCAGTGGTGCGGCGTAGCTCGTAGCAATGGTACGTTGGTAAAGTGAAAGGTGTACCTTAGTTTCGTCGCTTGCCTCCAATGACTTCGTGGCGCATCGGCACAGTGACCAACTGACGACAGCGCGCTCGCAGGGGCGATGGTTCGAATCCAGCCACTCAGCAGGCCCGAAAATATTCGTTTTTCAGAGTTGTTTTCAAAATAGATTTGTCTCACTCTAGGACGTCCCACAAGGAGGTGTCTTCAGGTAAGAACACCACAAGAGTGATAAGGAATTGAAATTAACACCTTTAACCAATCACAGTTTACTTGTAAATTAAAATATCAATAAAACACTGTAACTAGCGACACACGTCCACGCCAGACGGTTGTCTACGGTCGAATGTTTTGAAATTACCTTTTTATTGTTTTGTTCTTTCTATCTGTTTTCTCGTTTTGACTACCGTTTTCGACATGCTTACTGAGGGTGGCGGCGCTGTAGTTCGCTGACGAAAAAACTAAACAAACTAAAGAGAAAGTAAACTAGTTCTTGACAGTCGTCTTCATAAAGTCTCAAATTCATTTAAGGGTAATGTATTACGCTTCTATAAGATTCCGATTTATACTCAAAATTTGTCATTGACGTGGTTTAAAACTACTGTGAAACAAAAACTTTGTAGTAAAGGTTTACTATACAGTTTCTGCGTACTTGGATGACAAAAATCCGTGGCAGTGACCCTGTTTAGCTCTTTCAAGTATTCTCGATCTAAGATGTTGAAATTAAATATTGTAATGATAAATGTGTTGAAATGTACATTTACAAAGAGCAAGCCCTAGAGTTTCTTACTCATTCTCCTCAGGGGAATCTGCCTTACGTTACGAATGAGCATATATATATTTTTTTATATAATAATAAGTAACAGGATGAACAAGTCGAGTGCCTGGTGGTAAGCGACACGCCTGTCTCTAACAGATGCAGTCAAATCAAAATCAAAATAATCTTTATTTCATAGGTAAGCATTATTACACTTGAAATCGTCACACAGGTTAAACTCTACCGTTCATTCTTCTCAGATTCCTCTGAGAAGAATGAACAAGAAACTCTATGCCACTCAGAACCTCAAATCACAAAGATCGGAGAGGCTCTGCCACTTCGCCCGACGCCTTGAGACATAAGTTGACAAGTCCCATGTGCCTGTAATTTCACCAGCACCCTTAGGCTCAACTCACACTGGCGCAGAGTCGAAGCATCGCGTCGTGTCCTGTTTTTCAACTCCACCGCGCGTCGACTCGCGTCACCGCTCGATTCCATATTTGCAAAACACAAATTTGTACCTTAATAATTGGAAAATATAGATGAATATGCTATAGGCGAAAAACATGACGCGTCGCGATGCTTGAACTCTGCGCCAGTGTGAGTTGAGCCTTACCCTTTAAAATCGGACCGCAGTAATGCTCACATTACTGCTTGGCGGCAGAAAAGGTAAGATGGCAGTATTGCCATCCTAAATGACAAATTATCAAATAACCGCTTTAAATAGCAAAAAATAGATCACAAAATTCTCTTTTAAAAACAGATAAAATTAATTAACGTGCTCGACTTATCGGAACTTGCCCTAACAATGCATAGTTGAAATATCATTAAACTCTTTCAATATTCTAAAACTGTATATATAATAATAATAATAATAATAATAATAATTTTTGTAAAAAATATATTATAACAAAATTAAGTCGATAATTACACAAGTGTGAAACTTGGGTTCTTGGTACACTTTTTTAAACAACAATTGTAACCGACTATTCTCATATCGAGTTCTTAGGTTTTCGCGATTGCTACACATAGGAAATGAAACTATTTACCGGATTTAAATCGCGTACATTTGTTTCTTCAAACAAACCAACGTTTCGGGCCCTTTACAGGGTGGTTTGCATCAATATTAGACATAACTGGTTGAAGGTTGTACCACCTCAGTCAACCGTGACCATGAGACCTCTAAAGGGCCGGAAACGTCGGTTTGTTTCAAAAAACAAATATACGCGATTTAAATCCGGAAAATAGCTTCATTTCCTATGACTATTCTCAGTTTAGCAAAACAAGCTACTCTCCCATTAATACTACCCAAGTTGTACAGTCAAGAGTACATAAGGTTTGCCACTTTGGACTTTAAACCATTCCTATCGCAAGCGATATAGAGTTGACATTATATATCAAGCGTCAATCTTTAGGTAAAAAAAATATTTTGTCACCGCGTTTTAGTTAGCAGTTCTACTAAAGTAGAACAGTAGAGTTTAATCAGTGTGACGTTGTCAAGTACAATTTGCTTACCTATGAAATAAAGATTATGTGACTTGGACTTCTACCTTCTTAAATGGTCAGTAGCGGCAGCTAGTCGCAAACATTTAAATTTATTTTATTTTTTCAGATTAAGACACAAGGGCTACTTTATATCACGATATTCAAAGTCTATAGCTCGATACATAATGCTACCACATGTGAAGAGGAAACCTGTTCTTGCTAAGTTGGATATATTTTATTTTAACACCGCAACGTAATCAAATTTATGAACGCGACATATTTTCCATATACATTCAACAGCACGTAGCTTAGTTGACATTGTTAACAGTATTGGAACCCGTACCGTGCATAATTTTGTTTAAACAGGATTATTTGCAAAAAATAATAACAACATCGTAGGACTATTTTACTAACATCATAAATTATAAATGTTGTTGAAACACATTGACTTACAATTATATGGACGTCGGGTCCGCGCTAAAAAGTGTCCGCACTTGTAAGGCGCTAAAATCGTATACAGAGCGCGACACTCCGCTTTAGTCTTCATTTGTTCTACGGACAGCGCGATACTGCGATGACATAACAATTTAAATTTCGAATAGGTTGACTTGGGACATTTTTCTCGTGGTTTTTGTATTAGACCCGTCGTCCATTTATTTGTAAGTCAATGTTGAAACATAATAAATTTACCAAAAATAAACTTTCACCTCACTAACTCGGAAAGGCTTTCATTCTCATTAGAAATCTGCTCAAAACCGTTTATTCCACGCTAGCGTGGAAAAGGTTTTTGAAATTCGAACTTGACGATGGACTATGGTGTACCTAACTTTTTCTTTCGACAAAAAAAATATAATGACACGTTCAACTACGCGATTTATCGGACAGTATTTATTTATATAAATCCGTCGATATATTCTTATCATTGTTGACATTACATTGACGATAACTAATGTTGTTTATAAACTTTTTTATACTTTTTTTTTTATAATTTGTTATACTTCTAATATTTCTTTCATCAACCATTTTTCTTACACAGTGACAGTACAGTGAGGTGAAAAGTTGTGTGTTTCGCTTTGCAGAAAAGTTGTTTTGCGTCTCGTCTCTTGAAACCCTCGCTACGTTCAGGATTCAATTTTTTCTTGGAATCTTTCGATTACTCAGGTTTCAATACACGTACTCGCGTCAAACAACAACGTTGCAACCTTGCATAACAAATAACTATTAAGTTTTTGTTATGCTATCTGACATTTTATTGGATATGTATTCTTAGCAACGCCTCCCGTTTGCTGTCAATCATGAAAATAGTTTTGATGGTGGAGGCTGTTTTTTTCGCTATCGCGCAGAATTATTATTTAGAGCGATTTATTTGAACGAAAGTAAAATCTTATGAATTAATAAAAGTCATTGTGCAAAAGTTATTGTTTATGATGTTATTTATTAATATAGTCGTGCGAGGTTGATAGTATTTTACAAATTAACCTGTACGTCATATAACAAAAAGACATCTTCGACACGTAACACGCCCGCCCGCCTAATAAATACGAACAAGCTTCAAACTGGCCAAGAACAACACGAACTAATTTTTACTATAGTTACCATACCAACTATGACAGAAGATCTACCTCAGTATAATAGCTACCGTGGTAGTGACAATATCTACATAGGTAGAGTGGCGTGCAATTAAATGTAAGCGTTTACACTTTCGAATATATACTGTAAATATTTTAGTAGACGTTTCAAAATTAACTACCTTGTGTTGTGATAAAAGTTATGTAATCACGACAGTGTTTTAAAAAAGATACACCGCTATTTTAAAGAGAAGCAAATAATTTACAATCAAAGAAAAATATACACTCCCTGTTTTCTATACAGGGTGTCCCAAAACTCGATGTAAAGCAGGCACCGGGCAAGAGGTCAATTTATATCAGTGCTGGTAAAAATAAAATAAAAAATGTATGTCACTTACTTTTGTGATAATAGACATATTTTTGAAAATGTTGACAATCGTCCGTACCCTTAAACCACACTTTTAGGTACTCTCATTACAAATTTTTGCTTTGTTTTTTTATCGGAGGCACAAATCAAACAAATCAAACAAACAAAACAAAAAAAACAACTTTAATACTTCATATTCAAAGATGACCCATTTAGTCAGGATTTCAAAATGGTTTACAAATTATTGTAATTGCGAACACAATATTAGATTTATGTTAATATACGTCAATACCACGGCAGCCATACTAACAAGGATATCTTATACACGAGACAAAGCGTACGTGCTAATTAATATACAAATAACAAAGTTGTTGACACAAGTGTTTCTTTTTCAGCCGTGCTCGTCTCAAACACACAATAGCTAACTACCCTCATGACGGGTTGAATAACATCCAGTATCACTTGGTTGGCACAATGGAGAATAATCTCTACACTTTAATACAAATTGATGTTGACAAATATCTACACCAGATGGAGTTATCGCCCCAAAATAAAATTAATTCAAATGAGAGCACGAAGTACAGAAACAAGAGAGTTATATGACAATATAAAAATAGAATAGATAACACCAATATACTGCGATTTTTGTTTCTGAATTATCAATATCATTTTTTAATATTACAAAAAAAATTACAAATCACATGGTTCAGTGCTCATACTCGTCAAAAATCACGCCTCTAACTGATCCCGGTACAAACGTGCCCGTCATGCTAGCCGCATTTACTCGCATACAGCATGGACAATCTTTGGGCCAAGAACAACCGGCGCGGGAGTCATCTCCACTCTCTCTTAGCCGGCCATCGATTTCCGCTACAAACTTTTTGTATCGCTACCCCAACAACCCGCCGCCGTCTCAACAGCGAGCTAAACGAAAATGTAGCGATTTACCAAATTACGATATTAGTTTTGTTTCTTGCGAGCAGCGGTCTCAGCAGCTGCACCAGCGGAAGTCACTGTGCCACTGAGATGCGAAGCTGCAAATGTGCTAACACATGTCGCATCCCACTGGAGACACCTACCCCTCTCCCACGGCACCAGAGTTATGTCGCCTTTTCCCATCTGATCGACTGAGACCTGGAGGTTCCAACATGCGTGGAATATTTGCTGAAACTTGAGCCCGACGGATGATTTCGTTTAAGGCATGATGCCGTTGAATTTTCTAGTTGTTTTTGACATAAAAATTTTATTTATCTACAAAAACTTGCTTTTTGTGGTCAAGACAACGAAAAGTTGAAATTTTGCGTACCATTAAGTAAACGTACTAATTTTCGTGAACAAATTGAACACACATTTCTACCCTCTGCCAAATATTATTATTCTTAAATTGATTATGCAACTCGTAGGCTGCCTGGAAAAGAATGGAGATAAGGCCTGCCTATTGTACCATATTGATGGATTTTCCATATTTAGTTTATAAGTGCAATAAAATGTATTTGTGTTGTATTGTTACTTTTTTTGTTACACCACACGTGTTTTAAAAATTCGCTTCGTTTTAAATTTTCACGAAATAGTCTTTAAACAATATATTTGTTTTGTTTCTTGAGATTTTAAAATATCTTTAAGCTGTTTTGTACAGAAAAAACAATTATTAATGTCTTTGTCATCAGTGGATTTTATTTACACCAAGGTTTACAATCTTCTGTTTAAATATAGTAAAAAATATTTGTTATTTATTATCAAACACCTAAGGAACCAGTGAATGCTATTATTCATTTGTAAATAAGAAGGAAATGTTTATTTAAATGTAAATTTAAATTCATTAAACTAAATTCATAATTTGATCATAAAGTTTGATTATATATTTATACACTGCAATAAAAATTTTTGAAAGGCCTAATTCGCACCATTGTTGTAATAAGGCCACATAAGCAAAATGACAACTTTTCAGGGTTACAGGTATGGCAGCTATTTTCCAGTCTTCTAAGTCCTGAGACACAGTCCTCAATGACATACCTGTTACAGAGGAGATAAAAACAGAAAATGGCATTTATGTCTATGTATATGTAGTGTGTTTCTTTATGGTTTGTCAACATTTTCTAAAAGCATCCGAAATGTGACCAGTAGGTATGCAAAAAAATGTGCAACATTCAACATCCATCTGAAGTTACAAACATTATTATGTCGTGTTTCGTAGTTTCGTTTTAAGTTTGCTACAAGTGCTAAGCACGTTCATTGATCTTTTCGATATGCGTGAACGCAATTTGTGATTTTCAAATTAAAAAAAATATTCATAATGTTTCACATAAGACCTCCTAGGAAATTATGGAGAACGCTAAATCTGTATCCTCAAACCAAACGTAAGTTTTTTTGATAACGTTAATTTTATCGAAAGTTTCTGGAATTTATTTTTATTTACTTACGTTATCAACACAAATACTGATACATAGAACAATATTTTATAAACTAAGCTATGTAGTTGAAATATGCCATTTATAATAATTTTGTTTATAAGATATCTGGCACAAAATTTTACGTTATTTTTTTTATTAAATATCACGTATAGTAAAATCATACTACCATGTTTTTTCAATACTTTCATATTTTTCTCACAAGTGGCGCTGACGGCATAAAAACCGTTTACACCCAATACAAATTGCAACAAGCACATAGAGGAATTCTTAAGACCTGCTAAATCAGAACTCAGTTGGTAAAAGCGGTGACCCCGGTGTGGCAACAGTCGCTGCTTCGAAAGAGTCTGTTAGTCAGAGTGAAGGAATTCTTCTCTGTGTTGTTCGACCGTTGTTAATAAAAAATACGTGTTCACATTTTTAACTTAGTTCGGTTAGTTTCTTATATATAAAAATAATACGAATATAACAAATTTTGTATAAGTGAAATTTCTCTCCTGAGAGTTGTCATTATGCTGATATGACCTTATTACAGCATAGGTGCCAAATTAGTACACGTGCATAAGTAAACTTATAATCTTGGTTTTGTCCAGTGGTTTATCACTTTTCGGTTTCCGTTAGGCATTTAAGGTTATAAAATACGATTACGAAGTTAATTACACTATGGGACACTCGAATTTAGAACCTCACTAGTCACAATTAAAACCTGATCAAAGTGGTCGATTACGACCCCTTATAAACTACCAACTATAACTTTTTTTTGAGGCATTTCAATTCGCACCCTATGTACAATAAGGCCATATCTGCAGAATGATAACTTTTCAGGAGAGAGGTTTAATCAATCTACGAACAAAATTAGTCGATATCTTTATTACATGTATAGCACTACTGACGTATGATCACATGTGGCTTTATTATAAGCAAACTTTAGTTTCTTTTGAAGGGGTGAAAAAAGGCTCACTGATTATTTTTTAACCGTTACAATATATCGCACGTGAAACCAAATACTGTCCTATATCAAAATAGTGAAATTGAGAAAATACGATTTGAAAGATTGAAAAATTAGTGAATGAAACCAATAAATTTATGTTCTTCTTCGTTTTTTTACAATACCAAGTGATAGGACGAACAAGTTGTGGACCTGGTGGTAAGCGACACGCTTGTCCATGACAGTTGAAACGCTACTCAGAGCTTTAAAAGGCAAAGATCGGAGGGGCACTGCCACTGTGCCCGTCGCCCTGAGACATAAGTTGACAAGTCCCATTTGCTTTTAATTTCACTAGCACCCCTACTCTTCAAAACCAGAATACAGTAATGCTCACATTACTGCTTGGCGGCAGAAATAGGTAAGGCGACAGTACTTCCCTGAACGAACTCCTTCACAAGGAGCTCTGCTGCTACTAAAAATTATAGGTGGTATAACCAAATATTATGTATAAATAAATGACGAGACCAGGGAAAGAGCTATCAAAGTCGCCTAAAAATATTTTGAGTTAATACTAATCTAATTCGATAAACGCTGAGCGTGTTTTGCCTAAAGGCTAATAAGGTTCAATGTCCTAAAAAATTACTTTTAGTTTTAGGGAGAAAATACTTGAGACTAAATGGTACTCATTTGTTTGCATGCAAAAATGCTACCTGCATTAAAGTAACATTGACTTTAATGCAGGTAGCATTTTTGCATGTCCTTTTCACGAACATTGAACAGTTTTCGAAATCAAAAATTCTTTTTTCCTAAAGTTCTCATCAAGTGACTTTGATCGTTATTTCCCAGAACTCTTCAAATATAGGTATAATCACATTACACGCAATAAGATCTATTAAGTATTTTGTTTTGATCTTTCAAATTATATTTTCTCAATTCCACCAAATTATCATTAACGACATTATTGGGTTTCATGTGCTATATAGAGAAGATAAGTTATCGTATTAGTAGCGAAGGTAATCTATTAAATATCTGTAACATGGCAAAGGTTACAATATAATTGGTTTGTCTTTACAACTTTACAAGACGATATGAATCATAATGGTTTTCACGAGTGTAGAACGTAATCTGGAGTGTAACGGCCCTCTAGAGAGGTCAGGATGGCGCATTTGGCTGGTCCTCTGCCTGCCTACCTTTTACTACGTGCAAATGTGGCTACGTGACGACTTCACGAAAAACATGAACATCGACGATCACATTTTAATGGAAAACTTTGATGACAAAGTGAATTCATGGAACGTGGCTAATTTAACGACTGTTGCTCGTAGTAAGTATTAATCTTGACTGAAGTCTAATCGTCCAGTTACACGAGGAGAAACTTTTTGCATGGCCGCCACGCGGCAACCACCCAGCTACACACACGCCTTCGTGTACGTTAATGGTGAATCTGAATTCTGTTTACTAGGCAACATCATTTAAATTTCTCTCAATAATACAACCGCGCGGGCCGCCGCGTAGACCGAATTCAAGCCAGACTCACCCGCGTGCCCGGGACGCTCATTTAACTTAAAACGTAAAATCTAAATAGAGCGTATTATGCCACGACAGAGCGCGTTCAAATTAGCCGCTGTTTTAGCCGCGCGACTTTCGCGCTGCAGAAGTGCGACCAAATTTTTAGTGATGTATTTTTTAGCGTTTGGGTCAATAAACCTAGAATATTTTTGAACACCCTGCGTATTACATCTTCAAAAAGATTATACAAAATTCTCGCAGCGAGCTTATTAATCGCTTACAACTTTGCCATCAGTAAGCGATACCAAGAAACTACGATTCCTTTGACGCCGTCTCTCTACTTCATCTTCACGTATTTCTTGTCCGAGCGCCTCCACAACTAACAGTATTTTTTTTACACGATTTTTTTACATAAACGATTATGTCAGTTCTAAGATGAAAATAATGTCAAAATACGACACGAAAGCTCTCGTTTGGCGTTTCGGAGTAAGGTATCCGCAACTACTTGTGTCAAATTACGATCTTCGACTCGTCGTTACTTTCGGATCCGATACGAAGCTAAAACTATGACCGTTGCTACATATTTCGTATGCGTGTTGAGGTTATGATGTCCGATATACGTTGTCAAAATCCTGTCAAAATGGCTTTTCGTAGCAGCTTTATCAACGTCCGATGTCGGACACCCATATAAATCACGCGTTTAATTCCGCAATCGTTCCACAATCGGGCACTTAACGCGTTTCATAGTAAGAAATTATTAAAACGAAGGACGTACGCAGCTACGTGTATCGGATTTTACTTTTGGGAGTAGACGCCCAGAACCAAAAGATATACAGTTAGGGGGGTTAGAGTTCTTGGGGCACACACTTCACATACATGTAACTAGGCATTAAAAATGACTCACCAGCTACCTTTTTTCAGTTGTAGTTTTAGTTTCAAAATTCTCAATAAATTTTAGACATAACTTTTCTCATGCGTTTTTTTATCCAGTCGATTGGAATAACTGGCGGAACTGCTACCCCATATTGCAGGGTATTGATTTGCATAAATCTATAAATTCTTCAATTCGATTTTCATCCATCGTGACTGCAGCGTGACGCGGTTGCAGTGCTTCTAGAAATTGTATGAAAAGTGACAGTCGTGCGGCTGCAGCGCTGCTTAAGCGCGTCTAACAGCGGCTAATTTGAACGCGCCTTTAAACGCACGAGGGCGCTGCGCGGCGGCAACGCGGGGTGAGCGCGATGAAAGTCGTTTCGAATAAATGCGCCCTAAGGGTGCGTACAGATCTGGCGTACTGCGCAATTATGCCTGTTTGAGAAAGGCTCGCCTGCACACGTGCATTACGTTATACAGTCTGATCGCGAGCCCTTCGCGCACTAGTGCTTCTCTCAAGACCTGTTCAATACTAGTGTTTTTTCGGTAAGGAGAGTACGATGGTATTTCTAAGTGATAATTTACTTATTTCTTTAAATTTTGACACGCTTGCACATCGGTTTTCAAGGTGTCGCCATCTCTGAGGTATATAACTTTTCTCTATAGTCTCGGGTCTGGGTGTTTGTGGTACCGTCGTTGTTTCCAATTGCCTAACACAAATGCTTTAGTTGCGTACTTTGGGATCAGAGCAACGTAGTGAAGTTGTCCATTATTTATATTTAAATATATATATTAGACAACTTCATATAAATCAGTTTATTTATTGTGCGCCTAGCATTGACTTACAATTATATGGACGTCGGGTCCTCGCCAAAAAGTGTCCGCACTTGTAAGGCGCTAAAATCATATACAGAGCGCCAAACTCCGCTTTAGTCTTCATTTGTTCGACTGACAGCGCGATACTGCGATGACATTACAATTTAAATTTCGAATAGGTTGACTTGGGACATTTTTTTCGTGGTTTTTGTATTAGACCCGTCGTCCATTTATTTGTAAGTCAATGGCGCCTAGGTTCCTTATTATGTTTCTATTATTATTATTTAACTCACATTTAAGCTGTCCTTTTTGGTAGGAATGACATACATTGATAGATTAGGGAAGGGTGAAAGGGAAATAAATTGTTCATTTTCACTAGGACAAGTAGTTCGATGTAGGCTACTGACAGACGGTTTATGTGAGGTGAACTCGTTCAATTGCAAGCAGTCGTGATATCAACTTAACGTGGTTGGTTGCAATCGTCCGGTATCGATATTTGTTTTTCATCGTTGGTCGCACACAATTAGTGTGTAGTAGGGATGGATAATATAACTTTTTCTGAATATCGTATCGAAACAATTTTATGAAACTATATATTCAGGGATACAGACTGCGTGCGCGTTGCGTTGATACATTGCCGTGACTGATATTCGGAATCAGATTTCGAAACTATAAATTATTGGATATAGTTTTACAAGAGCAATGCGCGCCAATATTAGTATATTTCGAAGACGCACAAAATGGTTTCACGTTGATATCCACTCAGTGAATATTTGATACGAAGCAATATCGGTATATAGTTTGGAGAATATATGATTTCATGTTGGTATCCACTCGGTAATCGCTCGGCTTGATTCGGCATCACTATAAAATACGCGATGCGAAGCAATACCGATATATAGTTTCTAAGGTACACGATATAAATATATAGATATAGATTCAATAACTGTATACGATTTTTAATATTATTAAATATCAATTCAATAATAATTTAATTATATACGATTTGTAAAGCCCACACAGTCAACGTAGTCCCGAACTAGGGAAACCCTGTGTCGCGGGTGCCATGGACACACACATAGACAACCACAAATTACACCCAAACTCACGAGAGAAATAAATGTAGGCCATTTAAATATTTCTCCCAGTTCGGTAATCGAACCTAGGACCTATGTGTGGCAGTCCGGAACGTTAACCGTTCGGACATGGCGGCAGGATTGCGACACATATCATTTGTTAAATAAATTTATTCAATAGTGGCAACCAATATTCTAAAGTAGTTGTAAAATTTGTTTTTATTTTATCTGAACTTGGGGTATAGTATTTGAAAATCACTCTCTGTAATATAACAATAATACAGGTTTTAATTACGTTGCCTCCGTAACAATAATTATAGAAGTAACATCTGTGCTTTCATTTAACTTTACTGAGCTCCTGGGCTAGGTACGCGGTGACAACTGCGCGAGCAAGCTCCCGTATCTTTCTACGTTAGTTTTAATTATACTGACCCTCCCTACCTACCCTTAGGGCATACGAGAAGAGCACTATAACCTGTGCGCGCACCACGGGAAACTTATAAGTGCAGGTTCTGACCCCAGATCAGCCAGTGTACAGGGTTGTCACAGACCTCTGTCACTTGACTTCATCCGGTTCTTCGAGAGGCTAGTGCCTCGAGTGAGCCGTCCCGAGTGCACGTACAGTACCCTCCCTATTTTCTAGATAGGTACCGGAACTGTAGGCACACTCACGTCCCGTTGCGCATTGCACAACTAGCAGTTGCCACCGCTAAGCCGTCGCCTCTGAGTCCACTACCAAATCTCCACATTGGTGGCGGAGCTGTAAGGCACGCTCACTTCCCGACGCCGAAAAACGACGTCTCTACAGTTTCCAATAACCTAAGTGGCTGGAGGGACCGGAGGATATCTAGCTTATCCTCTACCGACACTAGCCCTGAGATACCAGTCGCGACAATGTCCGGACATAGCTTCCAACTTAAAGGGCAACTCACGTGTCCCGCACGTCTCCTCGCTTCAGGCCCTCAACTAGATCGCTACTAAGACGCGTCAGCTGCTCACGAGACAGACGCCCCGGACACATGCAACCGGGGCAGACAAACATGTCCGTCTCTGTACCTAACCACAAACCCCAGCGTGTCTATACCCAAGTCCGGATCCGCCAGAGACGCAAAGGCGTATCACTGGCGGAGGGCTTGGCCCGGACGCCCGCTGTACCCTGGTCTTGCCGTCGAGCCCGTAGTCTCCCGGGAAAACCCTATCTCTCGGGTCGGTAGATAGGGTGTACGAGCAGTCAAATTCAACTGCAGATGTAGTTGAATATATCGACTGCGCTCATGCATTTTGTCTTTTTTTTATAATACCAAGTAATACCAACATGCCTATCCATAACAGTTGCAGTGCCACTCAAAACTTTAAATCGCAATGATTTTTTGGTCACTGCCATTGCGCCCGTCATCTGAGACATAAGTAGACAAGGGTCATGTGCTTCTTGTAATTTCACCATTCTCACCCTACTAAACCGGAACGCAGTAATGCTCACATTACTACTTGCGACAGAAATAGGTAAGATGGCAGTACTTCTCTGGACGAGTTCTCTCGCAAGGAGCTCTAGCGGCTACTAGATCGTCTTGGAAAAGAACTTCTTTACGACTTTTAAATAGTACCTGTATCGTATAATGTCTCTGCCGTCTTCAAGTAATTTTTTTATAAGAAACGATGTATTTGTATTATAGCATTACGTACATTTTGAGATCATTTTCAGGTAATAATAGCGATCAAAGTCTAACAGGATTAAAGGTTTGGTTAATGGACTCGATTGGAGCAAAACCAGGTAAGCGGCATATAAACTATCTGTGTTTCCGTAATATTATAATGATAGAAGCTTGTTGTGTCTTATAATGTTACATTACAAAAATGTAAGATGAATAATAATAATAATAATAATGCACACACTCATGGCCACGCACCAGAGAAACCATGTGTCGCAGCTGCAATGGACTCACACATAGACAACCACAAATTACACCCAATCTACGTAGTAACTATTAATAATCTGTGACCAAATTCACGAGATAAATGATTAATGTAGGCCATATAAATATTTCTCCCGGCCCGGGAATTGAACCCGGGACCTCTGCATGGCAGAACAGCATGGTAACCGTTCGGCCACAGGGTCCGAATGTGGTCCGAATATAATGAAAATCATGGTAGTAAAAATATCATGATGTTTAATAAAATAAAATAAACATCTTTTTTTAAACCTACTTATTGTTCTTGTTTATGTGAATAATCTGTGTTTTAATTTTGTTTAGTTTGTGATATTATTTTGTATACTTTTCTGCGCTATCGTGTCAAATCAAAACACTGTAAGTCCGTGGTCCTAGAGTACAGTGTTTTGTAAATTTGTTACAACAAGAATTTTTCGGTCGTTAATATCAAGGGAAAAACAATGTTTTTCGATGGAAATAGCTTATTTTGTAAAGTTGTAAGTATATTGAATTTTTATTGAATTGATATTTAATTATTTTTTGTGAAATTACTAGTACCACTAGTTTCTTATAATTATTAATACAAAGATCGAACAGAAAAAATTCCTTCGATCCGGACGGTCATTACTATTATAATTTATTACGGCCAGCACTAATATAATTATAAATAACAAAATAGTATATTGGTTGGACGGAACTCTTTAACATCTAATAATCAAAGATATTTAATTAAATTATACATCTTTTTATATTATTAATTCGAAAAATTAAAAAAAAAAAACGAAAGCTACATTTTGTAGCGTTTTCTGAAAATGATGTTTTGAAGTTACAGTGTATTTATTGGTTTGACACGTTAGTGCGGTGGAGAGATTTGTAACTTCAACTTCACGAGACAGTAGTTGCAATTTAGTCTCTTTGCTTTTTGCTCTATAGCAACCAACTGGTAATGGATAAAGCCACCCCATCCCATCCCTCCTTATAATATGCCTGAATTGATTAATTGAGCAAACAATTGTTTTTCAGTTTCTAATGCTACAATAAGTACGCTCAAGCCTGGTACTCTTCCCATATGTGAAATTAACAGTACCCTAATGAAACGTATGTATATAAAATGCAATAACTATTATTGTATAGCAATAAATGTTTTTCTATTTCTATTTCTAATAATATAACTTTGCATCTTACTGTGCCACTGATATGAATAATAAATGACAAGACGTTTTAATTTCCCAATAGATGACTAAAAGTTTGAAATTAAATACACACATCATAAGTGTCTATCAAGCACGTTTTAGCCAATTGTTGAAAATCAGGTTTTTTAATATCTTTTTTTCACCACCGATGCATTTTTAGTTTGGTAACTTTTATAATTTTGAGTTGAAAATTAAATTGACCAAAAAAATTCATCAGTATTAAAAAAATTCTGATTTTCAGTAAAAACGTGCTTAGTCCCTAGACACTTTTGATGTGTGTAGAACTTTAACATAATGTTTATTCCACAAATCCTCACTAACGTAACGTAACGTACTTGCTACGCAGTGGGGATTCGTGGTGCCAACCAAAACTAACCAACTTGGTGTTGATTTTTTCCACATACATTATTTTCAATCATAAGTACGTATCAACAGGTATTTCGCAAATTTTGTAATAATTGGTCAGGTAAACATTTATTTTACAAAACCTAATTAACTTTCGTCGATCCGGTGGGACGAATCCATGTCCATGCTGCACCGTAGCATTGCTCTAACTATCTGAGCCAGTGAGATTTTTTGTGAAATAACTCCACTAGCCCACGTAATAATAGATCTGTTATTTTACCATTACTTAACAAAAATGATCGAGGAAAACATCATTCAACCAGAATTAAGTTATAAGGACTTCAAGTATAGACCATCAGTAGCGACAGTGTTTTGTTTTAGTCTTGAAACTTGTCAAAGAGTATCAGTACCGTAGTACCGTGGGCAGACGCGACAGTCCATACCTGTTGGAAATGAGATAGGCAAGCAGATAATATTGAGATAGTAATATCGTCATTATGTAATAAAATAATTCAAAACAAAACAACACAGATTAATCGCGTAACTGCGAAAGGTTATTCCCCTATATGTTCTGATATTTTTTAAAGTACTTTTGCATTACCGAAGCACACAAGATGGTATTATTTAATTGTTTCAAAGATGAGAATATACGAATGCTAAAAAGAAAAAACAAATAAAGTAAATGAAAATTACGGTCCAGATTTTGAAATTATTGATGTTTGATTACCTTTCCTTGCCGAAAGGCTGTCTTTCTGTTGGTCCGATCTGTTGGTTCTATTTGTAGCTCAGCTGGCAGAGCGGTAGCCACGTTGAGGCAACAGTCGCTGGTTCGAGTCCAGTCGGGAAGTAGAATTTGTGTATTTTCGACCTTTGTATCAAAAATAATTAATTTATGCCTGTATTTGATTCAACACACCTGATTTTTTATTATCTGGTTCGTAATGAATTCTATTTAAATACAATTTTGCAGGAGATACAAAGATAGTTCCACATTTGAATATTTCGCATGACGATGTGAAACCAACGAATTTGTACCCCAAGCTGAAAGTAGGCGGGTATTTTGCACCGGAGGAGTGCCAGGCAAGGCATTACGTCGCTGTCATTGTCCCTTACAGGTTAGTAAACATATGTGGCCGGAAACACTAAGATAGTATCTGATTCCTCTATATAATAACAATAAATATACCGAGGTATTGTAGTGTGGTAATGTACCGAGTTCTTAGGTTTTTGCGATTGTTACACATAGGAAATGTAACAATTTTTTTTAATAAAAAATAAGTGCGCATTTGACCTCTATCTCATCTGATGGAAAGTGACAATGAGGTCGAGGATGTAGCATGCACACCTAAATAATGCCTATTCACTTTCGCCTTGAAAAGGTCCAAGTTACAGCGTTCGGGGAACAAGTCTGCAGGCAGGGAATTCCATTCCTTAGCCGCTTGCCATACAAATGTGGAAGCGAAACTAAACGAATATCCAGTACATAGGGGTGGAACCCCAGACCACGTCTAGTCTTCCGATGATAGAAAGGTGAAGGTAGAATCAAATTATGCAATTCCAACGCAACACTCTCCGGAATACATCCTGTAGAATAAGAAGCACGAACGAACGAACGAGAAGCTGGCAACTCTACAGCTTCGCCTCTACTAATTCCGAGTCACCTATAAGCCTCTTAGCACGCTTGTCTATTGAATCCAAGGTGGCCAGTTGGTATTTAGCAGAGCCATTCCGTAAGTGGCAGCAATACTTCATACACGACCGGACTTGTGCTTGGTACAATCCTGATTTAAATCACGTGTATTTGTTTTTTCAAACAAACCAACGACACTATCGAAAGCCAAAATATACATCAAGAGTTCGCTATGAAGGACGGAGTCGTGCAACAGAGGACGCCGTATTACAAGTATTCATCGGATACATTCTCGAAAACGACCGCACCAATAGATTTAATTGGAACCGATCCATTTGTTTTTTATCACAGATTCTTGCGAATAAGCCTGATATTGTGATATTGAATCTATCGCAGTCGAGAGTATTTCTTGTGGACGTTACCATCCCGCATGAATGAAACTGAAAAACGTCGGTAGTATCTCAATCTGGCGCACGAGATCACCGACACGTGGGATGTGGCCTCCGCTGAAATAACCCCAATTGTTTTGTCCGCAAACGGTTTATTCCAGTTAACCTCGCTAGCAGCTTGAGGCGGTTGGATTTCTGTGTCGTGTCGCTTCCAGCACAAATGCAGAGGGCGGTACTGCTCGATACAGCATGTATTATACACCGGTTCTTGAATCTAAGTCCCTGATCCCGGCCACCTGTGCCTCCAATTTAAAAATTCAAAATTGATCTTTTAGGCCACGGGACAGGCGTGAGTGTAAAATAATAATAAGAATGATAATTTATTTATTTCAGATAACATTTAAGGTAAGATAACGTTTAATATTAGTAGAGCTTAATCCTAGATTAAACCAAACTTTACTTTGGAAAAAACAATAACAAAATCTAGTTATTTTGCTACCTTGTCGTTTTACCATGTCGTCCATTTAATGATAGGGTCATTTCGATATATGGTCGTTTTCCTACCAAGTCATTGTAAGTTATAGTCTTTCTACAGAGGTGGTCGTTTTGCGATCTAGTCCTTATGCTGATCAGGTCATTTTGATGATATAATCATTCTGATACCGACCCATTAATACTTAATAAGTTTAATATCTAGCTATGAAATTGGCCTCTGTGCGAGTTTACACATTATCGGCCCACCAGGCCTATCCATGGGCCTACCAGCTATAGCTTTCAGGATGCCGTCACAGCTTTTCTGCCGTCCACTGACTAAAACGCACTAAGTGAGAAATGGTCAAATATCCGTTTTAAAAAGCAAAAGATAATGCACAAAATTCTTTTTTAAAAACTATTAAAATTGCATATGCATAGCTGAAATATCATTAAACAATTTAAATATTCTAAAACTACCGAATTCTTAGGTTTTCGCGATTGTTACACATAGGAAATTAAACTATTTTTCCGGATTTAAATCGCGTATATTTGTTTTTTCAAACAAACTGACGTTTCGGGCCCTTTACAGGTCCCATGGTCACGGTTGACTGAGGTGGTACAGTCTTCAACCAGTTATGTCTAATATCTAATATCTAATCGACAATAAGGGATTTCAAAAACTAAAAACGAAAGTACATTACCTAATAAGTAAAACGACATCAATAACTTTTTAAAAATAAAATTTGAAATATCCAAAATTTTTACGTGAAACTCTCCCAAACATTCAATATGACATTCGTAGAGAGGCTTGGGTTTGTTTGATAAAAGATTAACATGACACTTTTTTCTAAACTACCTTAAGTAAGGGTGAAATGGAGTATTAAAGTTTGAATAGGAACATTTTAACGGGTGGTGCGCTTTGCTTTAGACTTGGTTTGGATACTTTAGGTACAAAATAAATAAATAAATACGTGTTTCAGGGTTTTTTTTAAACAACCCCTAAATATAGGTTAGGAGGGTATCGTAATATATAAAGAATATATAAAAATTACGCTGACGAAATCGTGGGCGACAGCTAGCTGCGTTTAGGCATTTGTCTTATCTATTAAACCAACGTTTCACGCCCTGTACAGGTCCCATGCTCAAGTCAGCCGTGACCATGGGATCTGGAAAGGGCTCGAAACAAAGTTTTGTTTGAAAAAGTAAATATGAAAAATATGCTTTCATTACCAATAGCCCTCATCAACGCTAGTCTATCGCGCGTGATCAGGAGCGTACAAGACTGCGTCCGGGAAAGCCTTTGACGCGCAATTGTGAGCGATTATCTGTTTCAAATTTTTTAAGCAAACCTTCTTTCGCGCTCGATTGCTCGTGTTTGTTTTTCTTATAACGGAAAGAGCGTCCGTGTAAAGGCTAATAGCGCAGGATAGACTAGTGAAACTAGTGAGTGTTGGAGTGACCGACTGATGAGTGAAATCGTGCGGTCTTTCCCTTTTCCTTCCAACGTCTTTACACGAGCGTTTAATCGCGCACGATCGCTGTACCACGCTCGTTAGAATGTCTCTATAAAGCGTATATATAGGTATGATATTTGTTCACTACTATTTTGAATCTCTTCCAGGGGTCGACACGACAATTTGAAGATATTCCTGTACAACATCCACCCATTTTTAATGGCTCAAAAGCTTCAATATCAAATTTTTATCATTGAACAGTACGGTAAGTATTTATGGACTTACCTAATTAATAATGACCGCTGTGGCACTGTAGACCCACTAGGATTAGGGCAGTTGAAGTTTGCAATTTCTCTGTTACCTGATGAAATTCAAAGCGATAATATAGTTGAAAAAATATTATTTGCACCGATGAATGTTATCTCTTGGAACGGCTTATCCTTTATATTACAATATAGTAATAAAACCATTAACACTTCTTTACGCGTACATGGACTTAATGATCTTGGTCCTTCGTACGAGTCATGGATGCGCTGAATGCTTTGAATTCTAGTTTCGAATTATTTCTTTACTAATGAGGCCGTTTTTTTAAACCAGTAAGTACTTCGTAAAATACCCACTGCCGACTCTTTGCTGACTAATTCAATGAAGTTAGTTCCGCATAAAGATTGTCAAGTTTAGAATGCGTAAAAGTGTTTAAACTATGGCAAGTGCGTTGCCGAGACGGCTCACTCTTTTGTTCTATAGTAAAGATGAAGCGATAAGACGAATTGCAAATAATATTTCGACAACTATACAAGAACTAGATTCATTATTACTACTATATATATTACTGTTACCACTAATAATAGCTGTTAAGATGTAACCAATACCACTACCAACACCAATACTAATAAAAACCTGTAACCAATGGATGCTGGCTATCTGAATATATAACTTTTTTTTTATTCAAATGTAAGTGCGCATTTGACTTCCATCACACCTGATGGAAAGTGATGATGAGGTCGACGCTGGAGCACGCGCACCTAAATAATGCCTATTTACGTTCGCTTTGAAAAGGTCCATGTTATAACGTTCAGGGAACAAGTCTGCAGGCAGGGAATTCCACTCCATAGCCGTTCGCCATATAAATGTGAAAGCTATATTAGACTCTAGCTCTTTCATGGCCTATAAGATTAATTTTGAATTTTAAATAGGAGAGGCGGTATTCCCCTGCAATGGCGCAGTAAACCGGGGTCAGGGACTCAGGTTCAGGAAACGGCCAACCGACATTTGTGCTGGAAATGATACGCTACAGAAATTAAGCCGCGTTTCTGTAGTCGAGTCGTTATCAATACTAATAGAATTTAACCCCGACAAGGCAATTGGGATTATTTCAATGGAGACCGAAGTCCTCCGACATTTCTCGGTTTCAGCTTTCACGAGTAACGTAACGTACATAGTAAATACCCTCAACAGCGATCGATCAAATACCACAAATATCAGACTTACTCACAAGAATAGTTCTGTCCGTAATAATGGATAGGTCCCAATAGATTTTGGTGAATACTTATAACAAGGCCATCCTCAATTGCACGAGTTCGTACTTCGGTGTGAGCTTGATACTATTATTATTATTTTGAATATCTACAACCATCAAAAGTAACTTTTACTAGCAATAGAGCTCCTTGTGAAAGAGTTCGTCCAGGGTAGTACTACCACCTTACCTAATTCTGCCGCCAAGCAGTAATGACAGCATTACTGTGTTCCGGTTTTGAAGGGTAAAATTACAGGCACATGGGACTTGTCAACTTATGTCTCAGGGTGACGTGCACAGCGGTAGTGCCCCTCAGATCTTTGCGATTTAAAGGCTTGTTCGTTCCGTCACTTGATGTTATAAATAATCTCAGTACTGTAATAGGGGGTATAGCTCTAATGCATTGCGAGAGGTACTTTTAATAATATAAACCTGGATTAACTTCAAACATTTGGTTTATTTCACGTTTTTACATAATTTTAGTATTGCGTTACTAAAATTATGTAAAAACGTGAAATAAACCAAATGTTCAATGTGCAATTCTACTCATAGAGTACAGCCTAGTCTACAGTACAGAGTACTAAAAAAACCGACCCCAAAAGTACGTGGAATTATATTTATTTGCCAAGTTTTATTGAAATCGGTTACCGAAAAGTACGCAAACCTGGATTCATCTGGATAATAATCTGGATCTGGATAATAAAAATCGGTTCTCACTACTCAAAATATATTGAGATAAAAACGCCTAGATTTGGAGAATAGCAAAATCAACCATTAATCATTCTCCTTATATTAAAATTTGGACGCTATTTATAAAAATGAATTTTTATGCGTGAAGTGGATGAAATGGGAACACAATGGAGGTATCCTCTTTCCAACAAAAAAAAAAATCATGAAAATCGGTTCACAAATACCGGAGTTATCGCGTAACATACATACAAAAAACAACTTACAGTCGAATTGAGAACCTCCTCCCTTTTTTTCAGTCGGTTAAAAAAGAAAATTAGGGATCAAGCATCTTTTTTCCAATCCCCTGAAAATCAGGTTTTTTAATAAATTTTTTAACACCCATGCATTTTTTCCCTTCAATTTTATAATTTTAATTTGAAAATGAAATTGACCAAAAATCCATTAGTGGTAAAAAATTTTACTAAAAACATGATTTTAAATAATTAGCAAAATCGTGCTTGATCCGTGACACTTTTGCTAAGTGTATTTTAGATTCTCGCTTCTCCCATGGACTAAAATATTAATTTTCAATTTTTAAATGGGAGAGGCGGCAACAGCACAGTCGTTATTATTATTCACGACTATAGTTTTTATCTTGCACTCAAAAATTTAAAGGAGACACGAAGAATTATTTATAACATTGTTTTAGTTCAAATTCCAACAAACAAGTCACTAATATACAAGCTATGAAATCTAAGGGAACTCGCACGATACTATATGCCTAAATATTGTTTTTTATGTTACCAAGAGACGGGGCGAACAAGTCGTGGCTTGGGTGGTAAGCGACACGTCTGTCCATAACAATTGTAGTGCCATTCAGAGTTTTAAATCGCAAAGGTCTGAAGGGCACCTCCATTGTGCCCGTCACCCTGAGATATAAGTTGGCAAGTGCCATGTGCCTGTAATTTCACCACCATGTATCCAAAACCCAGCAGTGTCGCTTTGGTTTAGAGTTAGGTAACGAGGCTAGTATTTGTCCACACAAGTTTGACTTCGAGAATGTTATCATCACTATGGTACTATATATTATCCATTTTCTCATCTGTTTTTTAGGCAACGCTTCATTTAACATGGGACGACTGTACAACGCTGGGTACAGAGAGATACAAGAATACGGCAAGTGGAAATGCGTAGTATTTCATGATGTAGATTTATTACCGACAGATCGGAGGATCTTGTACACTTGTCCTACGTACCCCAGACATATGTGTGCTGGTACGCTTCATGAGTGAGTAGAAGAAGCTAACTAATTTCAGTTCGTTTATGTCTCATGAAAGTAGTGGCATAACTTAATAAGATAAATCCTCTCCTTGCTTTCTCAAACTCGTATCTTATAGCACAAGATTACTGAAATGCAAAAAGGGATTGTGTATACAATTTTTGCAGGCTGATTTCACATGACATTTCCTTCATATCCACACGCTGGCTTTTACGTATTCTTAAAGTAATACATCCAAATTAACACCCTTGATAAGAAATTTAAAGCAAATAGACAGTTTTGCTATCTCCAGAATAATCACTCTTTATAAGATACGAGTTTGAGAAAGTAAGGCATCGAAATGTACTCTCGGCTCTCGGTTCCTAGAACTTCTTCCACTGATGTTCACTGGTTCCTTTCCTTCGTCAAATTAAGTTCAAAAACTACTAAACTTTTTGAGCTATATACATATAACATATATCCGGGAAAATCTCAATGCGCTATTGAGGGATTTCGGGATTTCACAAAACGCCACCAATGCCATCTAGTGTTAACAAAACTAATTCTATTTTCTCTCTAATTTGACCTAAAATTAACTGAATATGATAAGATAAGATAGGTACAACTAAATAATAATGTAACAACCCTACACCCCGAGCGAAGTGTAGACATTTACGCGCTGAACAGGTAGAAGTTGATTTACTTGCTCTTATTGTACTATGGTTGTGGTTTCATATATATCATAGTTATCAGTGCGCAAAAATTTCCCCATAAAATTGACCTCTCAAATAGAATTTTATAATTTTAGATTCTTGGCGATGTGAAGAACGGTCATATTGCATGTATTATTTCCCTTCTTTACAAGTTACCACTCCCAATAATCGACTGCTTCTAAAAATGTCGATGTTTAAATTTCAGTCCAACCTACCGTCCTTTGTTTGGCGGTGTAGTAGCGATGACTCCAGAACATTATGAAAAAGCTAACGGGTATTCCAATCTGTTCTGGGGCCGGGGAGGCGAAGACGATGATATGTTTTGGAGGTAAACATAAACTTTTGGATTTGGCAATTTTGCAAACACAAAAAGTGATATATTTTCCAAGCACACACACACAAGAGGGTTCACTCTTCTTTTTGACACTTTTGGCAGCTTTATATGAACTTAATTCCGTATTTAACAGATCTTGCAAAAGTTTGTTTAATTATGGTCACTATAAAGATATCCTGTGTTAAATTATTTATAACATATTAGTAGCAGTAGAACTCCTTGTGCAGGGCAGTTCAGGTGACAAATACTTAATATTTAAAGGAAACATACTCGTTTTTAAATAAAGTTACCGTTGTAGTAAAGTATCAATATTGTATTCCATTAATGAACAGCAACTGCACAAAATACACCCATTAGAAAAATTATCCCTTAAATTGTAATATTCTTTTGAAATCATAACATGATTATGAATTTAGTAGCAGTAGACCTCATTGTGAAAGAGTTCGTCCAGGGAAGTACTGCCACCTTGCCTATCTCTGCCGGCAAGCAGTAATATGAGCAGTCCGGTTTTGATGGGTGCTAGTAAAATTTGTCAACTTATGTCCCAAGGTGACGGGCGCAGTGGCTGTGCCCCTCAGATTTCTGCGATTTAAAGCTCTGAGTGGCACTGCAATTGCTATGGACAGGCGGGTCGCATACCTACAGGTGCACGATTTGTTCGTTTCGCCACATGGTATCAAAAAAAAACTTACACTGGAAATCTATAACCGACGTTGTGGCCTATGCAGTCTGTGGGCTCTACGTAATATAATCATATCTCAACCAGATTGATTAATTTAGTCACAGTCACGCTGGGTTAGTAGAATAACGACTTAATTTTAAAGAGCGAACGTCGAGTTTAGCGTGAGGCGTGGCAAACTCGAACACATCTCAACCTGTTTAAGGACGTCTTTAAATTATTAAATTATAACATTTTTATAAAAAAATCGGATCTCAAAAATTTGTGAAGTTACATCTGTTTGTCATGTTTTATTGAAATCGGTTGTGAAGTGGGTGAAATGGGTTACCTATCAGTAGTCCGAAATGACTTTTTCCAGAAATAACGTTTGCTCGAAGTTTCATAACCTCAAAAGTAATTTTGAGAGTAAAATATTTTTGTTTTTAAACTTAACCTTTTTTTTATTACCCGAAGGAACCTGCATACAGATACCCCGGCCCTGCGGAGGCAAAGCCGGAGTTATATAGGACTGGGCTGAACCTTAAAGGGGAGCAACCCGACCGCACCAAACCCCCGGGGTGTTCCTCCTCTCCGCTGCAGGTACCCGTGCCTCTAGGTACGCTATCCCTCGTCCGCGCCTCCACCAGCGGCCGGCCGCGCCCAGCGCTGCCCCTCCCCGAGAAGGGAGACACAACGGTCCCCCGACTCCAAATGTAAGGCTCGCCGAACACCAGTCGAGCTTTCCGTCTCGGGCCCCTCCATGCTGGGCAGCGGAGTCCGCTGTTGTCCTGGCACCGGATGTTGTTCTGGCCCCAGGGGCCATGGGGCTAGGACAACATCCCCTCAACTGTGGAGGGGATGTGGGTGGGGAAGTACCGAGGATGCTCCCCCAGCCCCCGCGGCGGTTCTGTTGATAGGCTTCGCCGCAACAGCCTACGCCTATGGGCCAATCGCCCAAATTCGGCCGCGGAGGACAGGATAAGCAGCAACGACACACCGACACGTCTCTTCCCCCGCGGCCCTACCGCCACTGCATCTGCACCCTAACGCCTGTCACTGCCGCCACGACAAGGCGGGAACCCATTCGGGGGTGAAATTTGACTTGACCTAACCTAACCGAACCTAATCGTGTCTTTGCGATAAATATCCAACGTGTCCTGAAAGAACAACGGTTTCGTTATAATTCGGTTTTCGGTGTAATGAAAATTCGAACAAACGTTATTTCGGAAAAAAAATTCGACTTTGTGATAGGTTACCGGTGAAATGTAATAAACAGATTCATCCCGTAGTTTTTCACCTTTAGAAGTGGAATATTTTCTTTAAATTTGAATGGGATCACTACTGAGTACCTCCTTTTCCATAAAAAAAAAGAATCATCGAAAATGATTTTCAAACGTCAGAGTAATCGCTTCACACACACAAAAAAATACAGTCGAATTGATAACCTCCTTTTGTTTGAAGTCGGTTAAAAAGCCAGGTCAAAAGTACCAAAAATAAACGAACTGGAGACTGATGCAAGTGGAGGAAGTGAAAAAGCGACGGATCTATAGTTCCCATGGATATAGGAATAGTTCTTGTATACCCTAGTACGAGACGTATGCTGGTACCTGTAAATGTACAACATTCTGCTAAAATTCTTTATTGAAAATCGAACCTAAATATTTTCAAATATGTCGATGTGCAGGTACACATAAATACAGGTTACAGCTACTAATCACCTATTCTGTCAAGACCTTGTATTTCATACATTTTTTGCTTTAATTTGTCCCAAAGTTTCTTTTGTTATAGAACTAATGTGGCATGATTACTTTGTATACCAATTGTTGTAAGTTTTTTTATGTTAGACTAATTTCGTACAAAAAAAGTACTTAGCTCATTTGTTTTCATTCGCATAAATAAGTTATTCTTAGCTAAAGTTATTCTAAACTTATTCTTTTTGCATAAATAAAACATTAGCAGCGTGCGCTTAGAAGCCGAACACATTATGTAAAATTCGATGAAATTCGATCATGAAAGTAATCCGTCTACGTAATATAATTTTCAGGTTACGCTTTACTGGTACTACGGTGGTGAGATACGACAAAAGGATAGCCAAGTACTGGTCGTTGCCGCACAACTCGGAACCCAAAAACGAACGCAGGTAAAAATACAGGGTGTTTTTTTACGATGTCAAGTGACAGCCCGGAGTTAAGCGACACGCTTGACCACACAGACCTTTAAACCGCAAAGATCTGAGGGATACTGCCACAGCGCATGTCACCCTGAGCCATAAATTGCCAAGTCCTGTGTGCCTGTAATTTCACCATCACTTTTACCTTTCAAAACATAAACACAGTAATGCACATATTACTGTTTGGCGGTAGAAATATATAAAGTGGCAGTACATAGCTGGACGAACTCACACAATGAGCTCTACTGTTACTAAATTCATCATCATGTTATAATTTCAAAAGAAGTATTTTTCTTTTATCTATTACGGATAATTTTTCTTATGCAGTTGCTGTTCATTAATTTAACATAATATTGATACTTTGCTACTACGGTAATTGTCAAAAACAAGTATTATTTCATTTAATATTTAAAATATTTAACACCTTAACTTCCGAAATATTGGCACCCAAGTTTTATTGTCACCTAAAAAAATGTTAAGTATCTACGCAGATTTTGCTCAACAATAAATCTGAAAGTAAATAAGATATTCAAAAGCCGATTAGAGGGGGTTTTAGATCTCGGTTCACTGATCCCAGATATGTCTATAACGCAATTTCGCTAAAAATGTCGAATATGTCATTTATGATAAGGACAGTTCGGGCGAGTGTACACGCTAAGAAATGCGACCTGTTTGCTACAGAAAAGATGAGGTCTTGTACACGACAAGAACTTCGTCGGATCTGGACACGAAAACATGTCGCGTCTGTTGCAGACGATACAATGATGAGTATGTACATGATACCGGAAGCAATCTTCCGGAAAGACGTGTGTCCCGACACGTCAACACCCGTCCACGCGCATAAACGTTCGTTTACTGACAATGCATCTCACCCCGCCACATACTATAGCGGCAGAGCGCGTCGTGTCGGGGGTAGACAAGATTTTTTATTGTCCGGTGCCGAGGCAGTGTACACAATTCGTGTGTAGAAACGACACGAATTCTTTGCGTGGAAACGTTAAGGTTGGACTCCAATTCTCTGGTTTATCGCTGAAACGTGTGGAAAAAAACCCGTACAAAAGACACATTCGGTATGTAGGCAACGTTGATGCATGTTAACAAGTGGGTTCCAAGACTAGCCTCAATCCTTCGACCCTCCTATAACACGATTCATTCGTACCGCGTAAATAGAAACCATATTCGAAAGTCTGAATTTTTTTTCACAACGCACACAACTCGTAGCCCCACATTGGGGAAACCCTGAATCGCGGGAGCCATAGATACACATAGACAAACACGAATTACACCCAAGCTCACGATAGAAATAAATGTAGGCCATACAATCTATCATAAATCTCTCGGCCCGGGAATCGAACCCGGGACCTTAATCAGATTGTTCGTGTCGTGTCATACAGAGTTATTTGTAAAATACTAACAAGTTTGGTTTCATGACTCTTTATAATTCATCAGATTTCACTTTCGTACAAAAATAATAGTAGTTTATGTGACTGTTACATAATCAAAAGGCATTATAATACGAGTGTGGGTCACTAAATATCACACGAGTGTTTTAATGCCTAATTATGTACCTACATTCACATACGTTATTTTATCTATACACATATCATAAGCTCTCTATGATGTGTTCAGGAACCGCATGTTACGACCGGCATTGCAGCATTGATCAGAGCTATTAGCAGTAATTATTAGTAAAATAATGCAAGGAACTTTTTAATTAAGTAATTTATTTATTTCTCACGCAACCTCGCAACCTACATTACAACTTTTTATTTTTAATTCATAGACAAACTAGAATCGGCCTCAACTATCATATCGTTCGATATCAAGTAACGTGTGAAATTGTCAAAATTGAGGTCAAATCAGATTGTTTTATTTTTCAGAGATGTTCGGAATTTTATTGTTATGAAGCAATAATAACATTTTCATAGATAAGAAATTTGTTTTAACAGTTTACCTTTATGCTGGTCGTAATTTGCGGTTTTTGTACACATCATAGAGCGTTTATGACGTGTGTGTAGATAAAAATATTTAAATTTGTTACCAAAGAAAGCGCTAAATGGCGCTAGCGTAAATTAATCAGCTCGATGAAAAAGTCAGGGGCAAACGTGGCGTCGGGGAGGGCGCTTGCACACTAACTACCTAGTTACCTAATACATTGTTCTGTACCAAATACAAAATTAAATCTAAAAAGTGTCCGATAGAATGCAGCAGTAGTGTGAGCATTACTGCATTCCGGTTTGGAAGGTTAAGGGTGCTGGTGAAATTGCAGGCATTTGGGACTTGTCAACTTATCTCTCAGGGTGACAGGTGCAGTGGCAGTGCCCGTAAGATCATAAAAGACAATCTTATATTTAAATATGAGCGCGATGCCTTAACGTTTGTTCATATTTAGGGGAACTTCCTGACACTACATAATTGTACTGTAAATATTTGTCCTTTAAAATCAAGGCGTGCAGATAAACGCAATAGATTAAGTTTTTCAAGTCATTCACGTTGTTGGAATGTTGTCTTGTAAGAGAAACAAACATTGTAAATGTTTGTTATAAAGTAAATAAGTTTTTGTTTTTGCAAAGAAATACTCCTTTGATTTGGCAGGACTTGATCAGAACGCTGGTTCTGTGTCAAACTAGGGTCATCGCTGTACCTACTGAGCTACAGATATAGTTGGTTATAACAAAATATTGGAGTAATTTCACAAAAAAATAAATAAATATCTGCACATTTATTGATTTTTTTGTGAAATCACTCCATATTTTGTTTTGTTGTGTTTACGTATTTAATACATTTAATAGAACAGTTTTCTGTTTCAGATTCGAAATCCTTAAAACGATAAGAGATCGGTGGAAACACGAAGGTCTCTCAAGTGTCAAATACAGACTAATGGGCACGACATTTAGACACCTGTTCACGCACATTGTTGTCGACATCAACCCTTTTGGAGATACGTATTGAGATCAATAAAGTTGTCAACAGTTTTGTATGAAATTGAAAGCTACCACACGCTACTCGCGCCATGCATTTTGAAATTTTACATTTTAAATCGTATGTATTTGAACTAGCAATAAAAAATATTCTGCGTATATCGAAACAAAGAATCTCGACGGTGTTGCCCATTCCGGGGTTTACCCTATTTTTCATAGCAGAATTTCACGATGCTGCATGAGAAAGATGAGTAGTTTTCTTAAGTATAAAAAGAGTTAAGTGTATGTCGACAAAATCGATAAATATTAAAAACTTATAATTATACATTTAGATTTATAATGCGGATGTAATAAAGGCTGTTAGAATTTAACATTAGAGGTTTAGCAACATTGAACGTCAAAACTTTGTTGCGTTCATAACATAATGCTGGCATTTACGCTTGGATTAGAAACATAGTGAACAACTTAAAATTCTAAAAGCAAATCGAAAGCGGTAGAGTTTTCGCAAAGGATTGGTTCATCAACAAAAGTTACACCCTCATAAAGTTTAAACATATTTGGTAATATGTCGAAACATTTCATTCGGTAAAACAGATTTAGCAAAAGCAAACATTAAGCCTTAATAGTAATTCAAAAATATTGTATTTACCCTCTGTAATACATTAAGTTAAGGCATTGTAAGAAAATTAATAAAATAATATACCTATACATTATTTTAAAAAATGTTTGAAGGGAATTAGAAATATAGTTTATTTCCATAGACGGCATTGAGATTGTAAAAGGACTTATTCAGTTAATGTTTATTTATCCAAGTACTAATCCAAATCGTTAACCTCGAAATCAGCTCAACTATTTCACTCGTGGTTAAGATTTATTTAACCTAGCCTTGGAACAAACAAGGCCTATAATGAAACGAGCTGTATGTGTGTATCCGTCAATCCATCCAAAGCTTACTTTTTGTAAGTGTTATTAGCGATATTTGATGTTTAAGTAATGTTGTGTATTTTTTTCCTTTTGTACTAGTTTTATTGTTGAATACATAATGTGGTAATCATTCTTTTTATACATAGAATATTTGCACTGTAATGTTTGTAGTGTTAACAAAATAAATACTATTTTCAACAATAACCATTTTTAATTGAATTCCGGGAAATATTAGTCATTCAAGAAATAGGTAAGCTGGCGGAATAATGAACTGGCAACATCGCAGTTGTCGACAGCGACGAAATGTCAGTTGAATATTGCGGTTTGTTGCAGATGGTGAACAGTCGATTTCCAATTTCCGAATTGTTTTAACATTTACATCGCACTTTCACTCGTTTTCATAATAAAAACAGTGTCAATAATAACAACATTTTGTGTAGTTTATCGTGCAGTTACTTCTAAACTATAGTGAGAGTCAATTTTATTGAAAATTTCATATAAATTGTGTCGTTTTTAAGGACGATTAATTTTTTTGTGTGCAAATTTATTCCCGATTTGGCGCAACTTCATTAGAATTCACTAGCTGATCTATTTATAAGGTATGTGTTGTTTACATTTATTTACAATAGTTGTAAACACGATCTCGAAGTGCGAAATTGCAAAGTTTCTATATTTAGATTTGAGTTTTTTTGCTGTAGGCTTATTCTTTGCACATGTTTTCCTAGATTAGCAACAAACAAAAAAAAAATTATACCTTTTTAAAATACTGTAATTTTTATGCTGTTAGAGAAAATTAAACAAACATCATTGACTAAACTAACAAGGTGTAATCTTAAATGATTAACATTTGATTATAAAAAAAACATATTTTAATTTTTTTTAAAGTTGAACTTATTTAGGAGCGTAGGTATTTACAAGGCATCGTAAGACAAATTTATTACTAGATAAAACTTAACAAATTTAAATACTGGAAAGTTTATGTGTTGAAAATTTCCTCAAGTGCCGCTTTCTGTGGCATTATGCCCAGAAGGCTGGCTACATTTCCCCTTCAAATAGCTAAACTTATTCACCTGTGGTCTGCAAAGACCCAGGGTTTCAACCGAAAAAGGCACAAAGCTGTAGCACTTTTTTTAAAACCTTCCAATTTCAAATAACTTAGTTCTAAATTTAACCGTGAGGTTAAGTTAGAATTATCAGTAACTAGTAAGTATAATAGGAAAGGCTTAAAGATGCAATTAATAAAGTATAGTAGTGAATGGTATAGTGTGTTAAAACTTGTGCTTCATATTGATATGACCTCGAATTAGTTCTAGGCACAAAATGGTTGAAATTACTTGAGGATGTCGTCTACTCTGCGTCAAGACCAATGTTTTTATTGTATGATTGTTATTATTGTTTAATTTTTCTTCTCAAGACATGGCTTTTTGTTTTTACAAAAGTAAACAAAGTTGACGACCTCCATGGTTGACTGGCTTGGACACCGCTTTTCATCATTTCATGAAACAAATCTAGTATTTCTTTAATTGTGCAGGGTCGCAAATTCAGTGAGACATCTATTTTAATAAAACAAGATAATTTTCTATATTACATTTTGACTACTTCAATGGCCTAATGTTTTACACTGTGGACGCTGGATGCAAAGTTTCCAGGTTTGTGTACCAGTAAGACCAATTTGGGAAATGAACTTTTCTAAATTGGTTTTGGTCTGGGTGTTCCGGGAAGTGCCCAGACCTGTTCCTCTGGTACTCATAGTACAGGGAATTACTTTTTTTTTAGTTTGAGACCAGGCTATTGATGTGGTTTTTAGGCACATTATTATTACGTTATGTTACAAGGAATAATATAAAATACTTTAAAAAATTAGGCATTGTATTTTGCTCTTACCATTGTAAAACAATGTCATGACAATGAATGCAATAAATAAATAAATAAATGACTGCCAATCAGGTAGTGTAATATTTTCTGAACTCAAACTGTTATCAGGCAGAACAAACAGATTTGAAAAAAAGTGTCCTTTAAGTTTATTCAACGGCAATACCCTTGTCAATAATAAGTATTCAAGTAAATGTATTGCCATACTTATCAGTAAATCCAATATAAGTGACAGGTAGATAGCAAATTATGTTTGTTTGTTAAAATACTTGAGTAGTAAAAATATTTACTGTCAGTTTTTATGTAAATATAATATTTTATTACTTGCTTTTTATAACTTTTACATATAAAGTAGTTTGATATAATAAAGTAACAGTGGTGAAGGATGGATCTTTGAAGAAGATAAGGCATTGTAGAAGGTACAGTCGATGTACTAAGATTACTGACCCCCTAACTGTCTATTTGTTTCTGAATGAAGAAAGGTGTTAAACAAATTGGGACCCCTAAAATTCATTTCGGTATGAGTTCTTTACAGCGTCGTTCGTAAATAACGTTTTAAAAAATTTTTGAAGACTATTGTGATCTTGAATTATATTACGTAAATACAAGTTTCAACCAAAAAGCTGGAATTTCCTTTACGCTTTTCTGTTGAATGCGTAAGAAAGCTCTCAGAACCAAAAGACAAACAAAAGAATAAATTTCTTAGGCAAACAAATGGGAATCGTGTTATAAGGTCACAAGGTGATAAAAAGTTTCTTCTGCACGTAAATAACAACGCGCAGGTTTCTTGAGATCTCGCTCGTATGCGCTTCCCTTATATTCGGCATCTCGCAAGATCGCTTCTTCAGGATTTCCTTGTCACGTAATCGAAACACGGCACGGATCGAGTTTTTTTTAATACGCAACCTTTAATAAGGCTACATCTGCAAAATGAAAACGTTTGAGGTGAAATGTTTAAGGGCGGTCTTTATCCGCTAAATAAATTTAGTCTACATCCACGGGTTCGTCATTTGCTGGCAGTTCCGGCGGTGTGCACTGTGTCTCATAGTAAATTACCGGTTGTTCGCGCTTTGCGCTGCCTTAATGCGCTTCTCTTCACCAGACTGGCGATATTTCAGTAGCAGCAGAGGCTTCTCGTGAATGTTCGTCCAGGGCAATATTGCCACCTTACCTATTTTTGCCGCCAAATAATAATGTAATCCTTACTGCGTTTCGGTTTTAAAGGTGCCGGTACTACAGGCACATGGAACTTATGTCTCAGGGTGACAGGTGCAGTGGCAGTGTCCCTCAGATCTTTGCGATTTAAAGCACCGAGTGACACTGCAACAGTCATGATAGGCGTGTCGCTTACCACCAGGCGTACCACTTATACGTCGCGTCGCTTGTTATCATAAAATAAGTAGATGAATAACTGTGTGTGATGGATGTTTGAGATTTTGTGAGTGAATTACGAGTACTAAAATTGTCTATAGGAAATGAAACAATTTTTTCGGGTCTAAATCGCGTATATTTGTTTTTCCAAACAAACCCAAACAAACTAACCAACGTTTCGGGCCCTTTACAGGACCCATAGTCACGGCTGACTGAGATGGTAAAGTCATCAATCAGTTGTGTAGCAGTTGAGCTCCTTGTGATAGAGTTTGTCGAGGGAAGTACTGCCACCCTACCTATTTCTGCCGCCAACCAGTAATGTCAGCATTACTGTGTTCCGGTTTTAAAGGGTAAGGGTGCTGGTGAATTTACAGGCACGTGAGACTTATCAACTTAAGTTCCAGGGTGACGGGCGCAGTGGCCTTCAGATCTTTGCGATTTAAAGCTCTGAGTGGCACTGCAACTGTTATGGACAGGCGTGTAGCTTACCATCAGGCGCACGACTTGTTCGTCCCGTCACTTGTTATTATACAAAAAAAATATTACATAATATAGGCGACTTAGATCCGAAAAAACAGTGTCATTTCGTATGTGTAATAATCGGGAAAACCTAATAACTAGATAATATAATCTAATTATAAATATTACAATGCCCTTGGTTACTTACTGTAACTTTGTGTAATGGTATGAAAAGACATAAATAAAATATTCTACGAACGAAACTGGTCGATAAAATTTTTCATGCTTAAGTAGTAGTATTATACAATTTCACATAATCGTAATTATGTTAGTACTTGTAGTTTACATTAATTTCATGAATTTTATTTTAATGAAAATAAAAAGGATAGATTTCATTTCATTCTT